ATAAAAATAAAGGAAATACTGTTAAAAATTCCTTGTTCTGTTAAACATCGTTTGGGAAATATTTGAAAAAGAAGAAAAAAAATGCACAGGAGGGCGAATACTTTTAACTTCAACTGTATGTGAAAGGGTGTGGATTCATCATTTAAAATCATTTTCTCACTGTATTGTGATGTTTAACTCTTTAATTTTTCCCATGTGGTTCTTTTGTCTTAAATCCACATTTTTGTTTTTGTTGATTGTAGAGAAAGTGAGAGAGAGAAAGCATGTTTCTCTTTTAGCATCACCGTGGAAGACTCTCCTCCATGTGCCAAATCTTAAGCATTTTGTTTAATACAGTAAACATTGAAAAAAATCAGGTTGCAAATCAGTATATACATGTATATCAGCTCAAACATTTTATTTTATTTACACTAAAGCAATGCCATCAAAAGTGTCAGGAAATATATTGTTTAAAAAATCCTTTTTTAATTAAATGCTGTGCTTAGGACTTATGTTCTTAATTTTGTTGCAATAACCGATAAACTAAGTATAAAGTTTCTTGAGCACCAAATCAGCATATATATATATATATATATTTATAAAAATGACATACAAAAAACCTACAAATATCACCCTTATTTTTACCTTTCCCATATATTGAGTATTACCTTTGCAGTGCAGTTATTGCTAATCATTTAGTTTCATTCACACAAAATGTCAATGGACAACCACAATGTTTACTTGTTGTTGTTTTTTTTTTTACTCCCCAGCTTCATTCTGATGGATATGCATGATATTATTTAACATGCTTTTTAATAACCCTCTTTTTTTAATGTGTCATTTTATAACAGTTTGCTTTTTATTTGCTGAAATCTCTTCTTTGTCAGCATTTCCTCACTAACAGTACCCTGTCAACGTTTAGGGTATTTATTGCCTTTCATTACGATAATAAAGAACAGTAATAATGGTGTTTGGTGTGTTTTTCTGCAGGGCTCATCCTCGCGGTGGATCGGTTCAGACCAGCCCCACAGGGACCCCCATAAACAGCCGGAGAGGAAGACAGCTGCCACAACTGCCTCCAAAGGGGACGCTGGAGAGAAGTATGTTTGCCTTTCTGTGTCGCTTCTTGTTGGCTTTTGCTCTTGCTGAGGTGTTTGTTTGAGAGGTGCGACTGGAAAACACTGACTGCGGCAAAAGGGTTTGCTGTATCTGCTCAGTAATTCATTAAATTCCACAGTTACAGTGGTCACCTATTCATTCACCGGGGGGAGAAAAAAATATGTAGCTGTTCTTAGAAAGAAACATTCGCCTATTGATTTACCTGCAGTGTTGCCAGATATAGCTGACTTTTTCCAGCCCAAAAGTTATCCGAAACCCACCCAAACGTTCAAAAGATTAATATTTTATTTTATTTTATTTTATTTAAATCAAAATTAACCTAGTTACTTTAACTGTCATCATTTTTAACCATACAGCATCCAACACCAGCAGTCACAGAGCCACAATAGTAAAATTACAACATAACCGGACCACATCAAATCACCCTCTCACCCACACACTGCACTTATTGTTGCGTAGATTACACTACCTATTAGTGTACGTTGTACTTTCAAAATTGGGTATAAATTCATCCCATAAGGCGTTTTAAATTCTTTTGAACATAGATAGGTGCTACTTGTCAATCAGACAACACTTCTACTGTAAATTTGTTCTTGCTGTCAACTGCGGAACAAAAATTATCGATAAAAGTGTTATGATTAACCGCTGTGAGTTTAACTGAAGGCTGCGTGTGATGCGAGTACACACAAAGGGGAGTCATAATTGTCCGGGGAGTCAGATTGTGAATCAACTGTCCTTCATTTCCTCTTGCGTGTTGACCCATGCAGTTTGCGCCGAGCACTGGTCACTACTAACTGAATAGAGTTGGAGCACACAGTATGTAGAGCTGAAGATCATAGCCTAAACCCGAAGGAACCTGACTGGTTTAGGTGGGTTCAGGCTTAATTTTTCTATCATTTTAGACGGGTTGGGATGGACTCGGGCTTGCGCTCCAGCTTGCGATCCAGCTTGTGATTTTGCTTGCGCAGTAAATGAACAGTCATGTTATGCATTTCGATTAGTGCAAGAAAGTAATCAAATTGTTTGTTACAACATTACACTATCCCTGGAAAGCTAAAACAAATTATGACGAGAATTCAAAAAGAGTTTTTTGCTGAAAGAAAAAAAAAGTTTAATTGCGTTATTATATTTACATTTAATTTATGTTGTCTTTAATATTATTATATAGCCTATATTGCTCTGAGTGGCGACATGCAGGTCTGTATAGGTATATACAGCATGAATACAACCAGCCTTTGGGCGAGCTGAGAGAGGATCATGTGAGGTCTACTAATGCTTTTATTGGCTTTCACTCAAGAAAGTTGCTCTTCATTTGCATAGGTTGAAGAGTTCTCAACTTTGACGTGTCACTCGACACATCTACCTGGTTGCCAAAGGTCGCTGTCACTCATGTATCGCCGGAAGTTGCCCAGTCTCCGTTGAAATGAACAGTCGCTTTCACTGTGTGAATGAGGCCTAATGTGGAGTTTCTTTCTAAAAACAGCTAGATTGATTGTAAACAAATAATTGGCTGACTACTGTAAATTGGCCGAAAGCCTTCCTGCTCTTTTTTTTCTGGCTCTAGTGTTTTTACTTTAGTAAATAAACCCAACCATCTATGCAAAGTTCCATCTAAGAGGTTTGTAAAAGTGTGTTTGATGGAATTTTACTTACACATTACTACAACATTGCACTGCTCAATTCCCCCATTGGCTAAATTTGACACAGTTTGTGCATCGTATGTCACTTTCTGTTGTTATATTAGTGTTTTGTCTGTAACACTTTATAACTGCACACTATGAATCATTTATTAAGCATCTAGTTTAATCATTATTTGTTAAGCATTAACTCTACATTAATAAGCATTAGTAAGCAGTTTGTAACTGCAGCTCGTATTATTGTATTATTGACTAATGACCACATTTATAATTTGCTTAATATTTGTACTTTTATAAATTGTGACTGGTTGATTTTTTATTACTAAATTAAGTATCACATTATTTACAAACCTTTTGTATTTAAGAGTAGTTGGTGGCTTTTAAGACCATTCAGAAAATGTTATTAAATGATTATTAAACTATTGAAATTAACATGTATATATCTTATTATTCAAGCATATAGTAATGGTTACTTTATATGTTAATAAATGCTTTATTAACTCAACTTTATGATGTTTTGTCACCTAATCTAAAGTGAGGACTATTTATGTGTTGTAAATCCCTTACAAATGACAATTAAAGGCTCAGTACCAATTGAACAATAATCTTTGCAATCGTATCTTAAAAGTAAAATTACTGAAAAGTTTAAACATTGCTGAGCAACAGGAATGTCAAAATGCGACATAAAAATGGATAAAACAACAACAATATAATAATTTAACAATATAAAAAGATGCAATGTTTAAACTGTACAGTAATGTTATTTTAGTTAATGTTGCAAAGGTAATTTTTTTGATGCAGTTTCATTTTTGTATTTTAAAATGAATAGAAATGAATAAAGTCCTTTATTTTATTGACTTTTTGCTGTTTGGAATATCACTGAGCCTTTAATTGTCATTTATAAGCGATTCATAAAGTATAAATAGTCCTTAGATTAAGTCACAACACTGGATGAAGTTGAGTTAATAAAGCATTTATTAACATACAAATAAACTATTAATAAATGCCTGAATAATAAGGAATTAAAAAGAATCATAAATGTTAATTTAAATAGTTTATTAATCATTTACTAACTCATTCTGAATGATCTTAAAAAAACACCAGCTACACTTAAATAACTGGTTTGTAAATAATGCAATGCTTAATTTAGTATTGAAAAATAAATCATTAACAATGTATGAAAGTACAATTATTAAGCAAATTATAAATGTGGTTATAAGTAGGGCCAGACAAAATCTTCAGACATTTTTTTTGCTATTTCTGTGGATAGTTTAGTTACTAAATAGTTAAGTTTCTGTCTATAATTTAGTTTAAACATTCTGGCCATTTATGTTGAATTATTTTGGGATTATTATAACTAAAAACTTAAAGTATGAAATTAAAAATTAATAGCCTTATAACTTTTATTTAGTGTTTACAATTCAAATTCTAGATCAGGGCTGCTCAACCCTGTTCCTGGAGATCTACCTTCCTGCAAATTTCAGCTCCAAACCTTGGTCAAACACTCCTGAACCAGTTAAATAGAACCTGAACAGCTCTTGATAATTACTGGCAGGTGTGTTTGATAAAAGTTGCAACTGAAATCTGCAGGAAGGTAGATCTCCAGGAACAGGGTTAAGCACTCCTGATTTAGATCCAATTATTTGGTTAACAAAGCAAGTATTTTATATAATATATGAACTAAAAGACAGAAAATACTACTTTAAAAACTGTATTGTAAAAATAAAACAAATAGTCAATAATATATTACTGAAATTAATTTAAAAACTGAATAAATATAAATTCACATTTACATAAGTAAATACGTACACTCAGTGATGAAAAATCTGTGGATTTCTGCGTGCGCAGATTCCGTGTGGGCCTAATTTTAAGTCAAGAATACAGCATTTGCAGCTTCCGTTTTAAACTGCTCACTAACGTTTATTAATGTGGCGTCAATGCTTAACAAAAAATGAATTCACTATTTGCTAATGCTTAGTAATTGCTTCATAGTGTTAGGTTATTATAAAGTGTTACCGTTTTGTCCACACAAATACACACATGCCCATGAAAATGACATGCGTGGTTGTAGTTGTGCATGAGCGCTGATGTTTCCCCCTCTCATTCCTCTCTCAGAAGATGGAGAAGAAGAAGTTGAGGCTTGCCCAGGTGTGTAGCATCAGTGTTGATGGTTTAATCGTTCAGAAAGAGCTTCTGGCTGAATTAAACCTGTCTGCAATGGTCCTGAGCTGATGTCTCCTCTAGAGATGTATAGAATTCTCTGGGTTTGCTCTGAGGGTTCATGAGGCCAGCTCCATTGCAAGCATCTTGTGTTTATATGTGAATGTGACCAAGACTGGTAGCTTTAGTTTTTTTCCTTAGTCTTATTGTGACTAATTGTGTAAAGCAATTTATATTTGTGTTTTTTGTCACTTATTACACTGAAAATGGTTCATGGATTTAGAAATTTTGTAAAGTTGGTTGCAAACAATTTATATGTTCTTATGTTTAACAAACAAATTAAGCTGAACATTACTAAATTGAATTTGTTTGATTTAATTCAGCCTATATATAGTTTGCAACCATTTATAAATTTTCCTTCGGTGTAGTCTCAGATTTATCAGAGGTTGCCACGATGTAATGAACCGCCAACTATTCCACAATATGTTTTATGCAGCAAATGTCCTTTCGGCTGCAACCAAGCACTAGGAAACACGCACATGCACACGCACACACACACACACACACACACACACACACACACACACACACACACACACACACACAACACTCATATACTATGGCCAATTTAGTTTTTAGTTTTTTTTCAATTTACCCATGGCACATGTCTATGTGGGAAACTGGACTACTCAGAAGAAACCTACGAGAACACAGGGAGAACATGCAAACTTCACACAGAAATGCCAACTGGCCCAGATGGGACTTAAACCAGTAACATTCTTGCTCTGAGGCGACAGTGCTAACCACTGAGCCATCGTGCCGCCTTTGTTTGCAACCAGTTACCTTAAAAAGTCGAGTAAATCCAATGAAGCATTTTTCTCAGCGTGTCTGTGTTGTTCTGTCATTAGTTTTATAGGCATGATGTTCTGCTTTGCGTTTTTTCTCTTATCGCTCAAATGATGTTCTCTCAGAAACGCATATGTCTCTAAACATTCAGTGTATTCTCGCAGATTGCCAAGGAACTTGTTTTATAACTGTGTCTTATATCATGACAGGTAGCTTTAATGTCAGTAGTGCTATATTCAGTTTTTAATAAGAGTAAAGTCAGTCCCAGCACTATATACACTGTAAAATTGAAAATGTACTCACTGTTTACTCTACCTCAAGTGGTTCCAATTAGGTCAACTTAAGCTTTTGCCTTAAAATTATCTATAGTAAATTAACTATGCACATAATTATATAATAGCACTGTCGCCTCACAGCAAGAAGGTCACTGGTTCAAGCCTCGGTTGGGTCAGTTGACATTTCTGTGTGGAGTGGTGCTCTGGTTTCCCCCACAGTCCAAAGACATGCTCTATGTGAATTGGGTAAGCTAAATTGTCTGAAGAATATGTGTGTGAATGAGAGTGTATGGGTATTTCCCAGTGATGGGTTGCAGTTGAAAGGGCATCTGCTGCGTAAAACATATGCTGGATAAGTTGGCGGTTCGTTCTGCTGTGGCGACCCCTGATTAATAAAGGGACTAAGCCGATAAGAAAATGAATGATTAGTTCAAGTTACAATGGGTTTACCCAGCCTGATCTCACACGGAAACATATGTATTTTACATTTTGTCAGTTGATTTAGTTCAGTTGTATGAAAATGTATGGTTGTTAAAAGGAGGTGTGGCACTTAGCCACACCCCTAAACCCAAACATCATTAAGGGACAGGCAAAACATACTAAGTTGCACGAGTAAAATCGTATGATTTCATACGAATTAGCCACTAAATCAAAAAGGTATGAATTGCAGTGAGATAGCAGTGGTTTACCCAACAACTTGTCACTTTTAATAGGGGTGGTTCACCCAAAAAAGAAAATGTACTCATTACTTACTTTCCCTCAAATGGTTGCCAGATTTTATGAGTTTCTTTCTTCTAAAGAAAATATTTCGATTAAAAGCTGGAAACCTGTAACCAATGACTCTCACAGTATTTATCTTTTCTGCTATGGAAGTCAATGCATACAGGTTTTCATTTCATTTCTGTACCTAATGTATATGCACTAAAATACATGACTTTTTAGGTCAAATATGGAACAAACCAACTGTTGGGTTCATACACTGTAAAAAAAAAATGCAGGGAACCGCACAATTCATTCATGCTGTCCCAGCACAAATCGATTAATTTAACTTAACACTTTTAACAAATTTATGTGGATTCAACAAAAAAAATTAAGTTGTCCCAGTGAAATCTCAAGAATTGTGTTGTTTCAGCTCATTTTAAATAAGTAGTTTAATAAATAAATAGTTTGAACAAGCAAAAAAAACTTTTTTGGATGTGTAATTGAGTTGTCCAATAACTAAAATTGTTATTAACTCAACACTTGGGTTTGTCCAACTGTTTAACCCAGAACTGGGTTGAAACAAGTCAGTATTTTTGTTTGTTAATTATTTTAAGTGTATTCAATTTGTCAATAAGTAACAGTTTATGGTGTAAATTTAGCTAATTGTTTTGAAGTACTGTATTTGTTTTTTCTATTTTATGGTTACAGTTTTTCAGTACAGTTTTGAACCACTTTAAGGAGCTTAAGTTGTGAGTACATTTTCATTTTTGAGTGAACGTCCCTTTAAAGTGACAGGTTAATGAATAACCCCTTTGTAACTTGGAATTGCTAAGTTGATGTAACTTAATTTTTAGAATTATGCACATAGTTGATTTGCTTTATACTTTTAAAGCAAGAGGCTTCATCGTTTTTTTTAAGGAGAAGTTGGGAACCATTCGAGGAAGAGTAAATAGTGAATGAATTTAAATTTTTTGGGTAAACTGTCCCATAAGGCTAAGGTGTCAAAGCCAGTTCCTGGAGGGCCACAGCTCTGCACAGTTTAGTTCCAACCCTGCTTTAACATACTTACCTATAGGTTTTAAACAAGCCTGAAGGACTCAATTAGTTCTCTCTATCTATCTATCTATCTATCTATCTATCTATCTATCTATCTATCTATCTATCTATCTA